AGGAGGAAACGCTTCTGAAAATTCGTCTATTCGTTTAGGAGACATTAGAGACCAGTCGTGGCCGCGGAAATCTAGAGCGACCGGTAGTTTCACACATAGTGCGGTTTGTCTATAAATAGTAAGCGTCTATAAATAACGTCCTAGAGTCCAAAACTTGAGATTCCGTACGCGGCCGGCATGCAAGCCGAGGAGGTGGTCGGCCGGCCGGTCGGCTGGCTCACAGCAGCTTCGATCTTCACACTCGGTTGCTTCTCGCTAGGCGCGCGCAGGTCTATATAGCTAAGCCACGTTAGTAATTACCCGGGCTAGGGTCGCTCCACCGTGCTCTGTAATTATCCGAAAAGTCGCGTGAATGGAGACGATAGGATCTGGAAAGCCGAGTGCGGAAACCGGGATTTCAATAGCATGAAAGATGTCTCTTCGAAGATTCATTGTCGTCTATCGTCATATGGTAATGTCAAGTCTAGTTTTAATAAGATTAATTGTGAAAAAAATTATATAAAGTAACAAAGAAACAGAAACTATAGGTATACAAATTATAAAATATAAAGAATTGACAATTAATTGATAAAAGGAATTAAATTATGACTTTTAACTCTGAAAAAAAATCTTTATTATATTTAAATAGAGTTCTGGCAGTATAGAGATAATAGAAATAGATTAAGAGTAGACATTTATTTCCATTGCCTTTATTTCGCATATTAGTTTATATTTAAATTTATAATTCCTCTACACATATTTTTTATAACAATTTTAAAATCGGCATAAAAATTTTTTTTATTTGTTTTAAAAATGTTTGTTTTGCAATTTTTTAATTTGATACAATATACCTACATGTATATCGCATCTCGATTGAAACCTGTTCAAATTTATTCGCGAATCTATATATCTATGTTAGGAAATTATATTATTGAATTCATAAGGTCGCAATATGTCGCTTCTCGTTTATCGCACTCAGTATGCGAATGAGCCGACATTAATCTCACCCCGTGAATTGTCTGCGGCTAGAAAAATCCCCGCAATCGTGCGCATTGTGTCAAGGACGTCCCATTATGCAACTGTGGACAGTTGCAAAAGTTTCCGTATAAAGCAAACGGCAGATCGCCGCATTGTTATCGAACGACATCTCGCCAACTTTAAATTCAGGATTCACCGCGACCTGGAAACAAGAAAACTCGTCTTCATGAAAATTCTTTGAAGTCGAAGTTCGCAATACTCGCAATTTTACGAGAAAAGGAGGAAGAGAGAGAGAGACCCTTCTCCTTGCATTTATGAAAATAACTTTATTATTTGCGCGTATACCTTGAACGTGTAATGTCCTGGCTCGAGCTCGGAGATGTCCACCCACTGGCAGTCGATATTGTGCTTGTAAATGTCACTGCAATTAACGGAAATACCTTGGTCTCCGTAATTGGCGCATTTGTACCTGAAACAGTAACAACGTTTCAAACAATTAATGAGTTCGCGAGTAATCGTGATTACGAAATGTTGAATTTATAAAATGAACGAAATTAAATACAGAAATAGCGTGTTACGTATGAAAAAAATTCACGTGTATCGAGCAACGAAAAAAGGATTCACGTGTATCACATGTTATCAGAATTTTTACCTAGGTTGAACACCGGGTATACATTGATTGTCTTCCAGGCAGAAGGACGCCTTATGGCCTTCGGCGACTTTATTGCCGTTCGAATCGATTACATCGAAAGTGGCGAACACTTCCATCGAGTGATAATGCCTGCGAAAAGAAAATAATACAGTCGATATTTTATTCTATCGACAACTTAATATTTCAAATAATTAATAAACGTTTCAATTGAAATTTACTTAAAAAATATACATTTTTCCATTTAGTTTTACACTAGTTAAAACTTCTTACTTTCCTATAATAATTTTTCACAAATTTATGCTTTATCATAATAATTTTAATTAGAACCACATTTATTTTAATCTTTGTTAGAGATTTTTACAAAAACAATTAGTCATGTTTTTAATAATTTACTTGTACTATTAATTTTTTTATGTTTTTTTCTCATGATTCACCAAATTTGTGCTTTGAGTCAGCTAACAAAGTATTCATGAATATCAAGTTCATATCGACGGTATGATTTATTAATAGCGATAACGACACAATCCGTTATCACCTCGATCTCCCGTCATTATTATCGATCGAATCGCATTTACATGTGACACATGTGCCATTCCCACAAGTGTTTGGGCACGGAGGGACGGAAATCCGCAGTGCCCGCGTTCAAGATCCTCGCCGTGAAGCGCAACAGTCGCCTCGTTTCTAGATGCCAATTTTCGGATTCCCGTTGCACTTTGTAGGCCTGCGATGCCACGCAATTTTCTTCCATCGCGCACTGCAGCCAATAGAGCTGACGATCCTCTAGATGCGCCGTGCGCATCAGCTCGAGATGATCGAACACGAGATCGGCTATTTCGCGACGACACACCACTCCCGCTATGTTTTCCGCCGTCCCTGAAACCGCAATCAGGTTATTTCGCGTTAATTTTCGCGATATTGTACGACGAATATAGTAAACGGGCTCGAATCTCGCACTCGTTCTGCAAGACGATTATGTATTTTCTTTCTCTCTCTCTTTTTCTCTCATGGCATTTCTTATTTTAGCATAACGTTGGCATTTACTATGCGCGCGATATATTCAAGAAATACTGTACTGGAGACGAGGTAAAGCTGAAACAAGATTTTCCACTGGCAGATTTGCATAAGAAATAGATCATGACAAAGCTTGAAAGAAGCTTTACTTTTGTTTTGTTTACAGATTTACATTTTCTTCCGATATAACTGATTTCTTATGCGATCTAATAGCAAAATTTGGCTATCGCGAATTTTTCTTACTTTTTTTTGTATTCATAGAATATTTTCTCTACATTTTAAAAACTGTAATATTTTTACTAATTCTTACGAACAAATATTTTTCTGTTTTATCCGACAAACGAGATGAATATTATTTATTCATAATTTTTTTACCTGGACAGTCTATTATCTTGTCATGTAAACACTCTGCTAGATTTCCTTCGTTTCCCCGACACTGTATACCACTAATCGACATCAGTGTCGGTTCCCCGTTGTTGAAAAAGTTAGTTTGCACCGCATCTGAGGCATAGCCGAGGCCCAATTGACGGCAAACCACATTGGCCTCAAGAATAGACCAACTGTCGCCGCAAATGACACTCCAATCTGAAATCAAATAACCGTCGCGAACTTTATATGCTTGAGAGGTTCAGAGAGATATTACATTCATAATTTTTCTTAAAAATCTCATTTAAGTAGAAAGAAGAATTTGTGTACAAAAGTGTTTAGAAGATTTAGAAGAAATATTAGTAGAAATTTAGAAGAGACTACAATTTAGATTTTATCTTTGATTTTTATTCGATTTTAGCAATTTAATAAAATTCAATAAAGCTGTTAAAAAGCGTTGTAATTTGCGGAGAAAATATTTGAGGGTAAAGTAGCAGTGTTGTAATTTGCGGAGAAAACATTTGCATACATAACATTTTATAATTGTACAAACTTTCCTTATCTCTTTGAAAAATATTTTAAGTTTTATTATTTTAAAGTTTTAAAGATTATTGGAAATAATTATAATGAATTCTCCATGTTATTATACTCAAAGACACATTTATTACCTGCATTGCCCAATTTAATTTCCACTCGGCCTTCGGAATGTACGCGTCCTCCGGATAATCGTAACGCCGTTCCTTGTTGATATGTGTCCTTTATTCTGGCTTTTGGTGGTGATCTCTCCGGTTGGACCGGTGACAGTGATGCTTTTGCTTTCTCATCGTGCGCGCAAATGACGCCGGCCGCTTCGTTGCTGCCACAGTCGGAGATGCCCCATCCGTCAAAACGGCATTTCGCGAGTTCGTTTTCAGTCCCGTCGCAGTAAACGTTGTCCATCCAGTATCTTCCTTCGAGACATTTTTAATGTAAAAAATTGCACGCTTGCATTCCGCAATCTAATCTAACTGTTGACTGAGAAAATAATGAAATGCTTGAATAAGTAGCAAAATAAAATATAATATAGATAATACTATTATATTCGGAGTAGATAACATCATATAATACTTTGCCGATTTCATGAAATAAAAATCAACGCAATACATTAAAAATACGGCACATGTTTCGGCATGTTTTCGGCATGTTACGACACATAAATTGGAATAAATGAACAACTTGTTAAAACGAATGTGTCGCTTCTCTCGACAGTACATGGCGATTCTTGCACTCGATCGTGAAAGACGACAGATTAAGATGAAAAAACAATAATATCTCGTCTCACTTCTGGCCTGACCAAAGTGGCCGTACGTTGTCGCTTTAATTGCACCGTTGAAGCCTAATTGCCTGCAAACCACACTGGCCTCCAAGTCGTCCCATTCGTCGTCGCATATACTGCCCCACTTCCCGTCGTGAAGTATTTCCACGTTTCCTGCATATAGCAATAAAATCTTATGCTTACGCTTTTCCTGTTGCGGCGACTCGACGCGATAAAAAGGAAGAAAAGGATTGATTTATAAGTTCCTGACTTATTAACGGAAACCGTTTATTATCAAGTCAGCGATAACGAAAACTATTAAATACAAGGTGAAGTTAATCGAATATTTAACATATTATTAAAATGGATGCGAAAAATTTCCATTATTATATGCACATGAATGTGTAATTTGGATAAGATGTAAATTTTATACTTAATATTAGATTACTTCATATAGTAATTAAACTTAATTTTATTTCGAATGACGAAAGCCAATTGGGGAAATAATGCCTTCTATTTTTTACATATATTTACATTGATAAAAATTAAAGAAACAAACGTTAAATTAATATTTCTTACGTATATTTATATCGAAAGAAACAATTTCTTTGATAATATGTTGATTATTCTCAATGATTTCTAAAATCCTAACGCATTGAATTAGTATTGATCCCTTTAACTATAATCAAACTGTAATCAAGTTAGTCAGAAGCCGTAGTATATCGAGATTCATTGCATATCCTCGACTCAATAAAACTCAGGAAAAATCCCGCGGAAACGTCTTACGATATAAAGCGAAAAGTGGAGGTGGCCGGCTGGTATCGCGGATCGTGATCCTATTTTACGGTGACTATGTTATCTAGTGATTCTCGGTATTGCGTATACGCATACACGGACACGTGACGTACGCAACGCGCTAACACATGGTTGTTGACATAAATCTTCCTCGAGTTGACCCCTTTTTAATCGTCATCATGCGCTCGCGACTTGCACAACCGCGCGATAAAACTCGCATCTCCCTCTTTATCCCCGCGGGGGAGGAGAGAGAGAGAGAGAGAGAGAGAGATTTATAACCCGTTTATATTGCAGTTGCGCTTTATCGCGGGGAAAATATCAACCCTGAGCGAGTCGAGCTTCGCGCTTTTATCCCGGTCGGATTTACGAGACGGACGCGTCGCGACACGCCCGTCGTTTATGCGGCATACCGGTCGCGGCTCGTCGTCGACTACGTGATCGATACACTCGCTGCATCGGTCCGTCGCGGTAAGAAGATCGAGAGGATGCTACGCGTAATTGATCGTCGCGCCAATTGATCCGATTGAACAATAAAGTTCCCTTGTTCCGCGTACGTCACAATAAACTCCGAGTGTGCTTCCTCAACACACGTAACTTTATACGACACAGGATGCTTCATCTGATGAAACTTTAATGAGATTCCTCTGCTGTCGTCGGTTCTTATTATTATTATATTTCTTAATTAACGCTTAATTAATTTTGAATAAATACGCTAAATAAATAAAGACGCTACTTAGCAATCTTAAATATTCTCTAAGGAAAGAGTTTAAATTTTAAATTGAATGATATCTTTTTTAGCATTATATATTTTTTCAGAATATTTTAAAAAGAAATTGAGTTATAACTGAAGTATCGGAATTACCTTCGTGATCGCCATTTTCGCCTCCTGTTAGCCTTAGCGCTCCCTCCTCTTTTTTCAGCTTTCGGAAATCCTTCTTTAGTTTCCTGACTATCTTGTTACGATTATTAGTCCTAGTATCATTATTGCTCGTGCACAATTCAGATAATAGCACTATAAAGCTAAATGCGATCCCTATTCGTTGTAATTGCCATCTCATGTTTCTTGCGTTATAAAGATATTCCTTATCACAAGAGTATCATATGCACCTGTAACACGTTATACAAGATTAAAAATTACAAACGATTGATATTTTTCTTTCATCAATAATTTATTTAAACAGAATTTTAATGCAATATTCAGCTTTATTACATTATCTCATGAAAACTAAGATAGCATATGAAAAAATATTTATACTTAGAAAATAATTATGCTAGAAAATATTGACCGGAAAAAATTCTTCGACAAAATTTGTACATATAATTCTTTTATGCTTACGATGGTCGCCACTGCGTACACTCGTACACGTCTACGTCCATGTTGTTCGATATTGTATATATTTGAACACAATGAGTTATGCGCGAGCACTCACAGTTTAATTACACTCTTTCCGGATTGTTTTCTGGTTATAAATTCTCAGAAAATCGCACACGCGATTTTGCATATGATTCCGCGAGCTACTGATCGTGCAGCACGCCACGCGATGCGCACGCTTCTTGACTCGTAAGGCACACACCGCGCCGACTTATAAGATCATCGGCAGTCCAGATGGCGGATCGCCTTTTTTACCGCATCGTCAATCTCTTCCTGAACGATTCGTTGCTGACCGTAGCCCCGATGACCCGTTTAAACCAACTGTTGACGCGATTAGAATAGCCATGATGATATCCGACCTCTGACGGAAGATGGAACTTCGAGAAGATCTCTTCTTTCTCTCGGTTTTCTCTCGCTTTGTAATCTTCCTTCTCCTGTTCTTGCTTTGACATTCGATCTTTTCACCGCAAAGAGGAATGGCGAGACACCAAAACTATCTTAAAAATCTCTATTAGGTTATTTAGGTAAATTATTAAATAAAACGATGAATATATAGCAATTAATTTTCCAAAATATAAAAAATATAGAAAATATCTTTTATGATAATAAACGATCATAAATTTGAGATGCAATTTTATCGAAATTAAAACATTAGAAAAATTGAAAAAGGCACGTGAATATTATTTTTCTTTGCTTTAAAAATCTATCAGATTTTATTTTGGAGGGAAAGGTCAGCGCTGCTTATTATTCGAGACGTTTTTTTAGAGTTTCCTCGATCCATTGCGCGTTTACTCGCGTGGGCGGAAGCTGTGGTTTGCTCTTGAAAAATTTACACCAGATTGGCCCGGCTTCGGCCGACCTTCTCTGATTCTGCGGATGAATAATGCGATCCACCGCGATGATTGATACTAGCGTGCGCGTGGTTCGAATCGGCCGTTTATAACGTTTCGGCTCTCGAGCGTTGCGGAAACGCGCGGCATATTGTTTCGTCGTGCTCATAGATAGGAATCAACTAGTTTAACCCTCAATTACTACGGTTAAATTTCGGCAACTATGAGAAATGACGAGGTCACTTTAACCTCAATAATTAATAACGCTAATGTCACCTGGAAAGTCACTTTAACTTTCATTACTTACCTTCGCAAAAGAAAGCGTTATATATTTACGAAGGCTGTAAAGAAAAAAGACAAGCATAATAAGATCTAATGACTCAGGCAGGCGCTTACTCTGATAATCTTTGCGAAATATCTTGAAGCAGGTTTGACCTCGTTATAGTACTTGAAGGCCAGGGTTTATATATCTCTATTGCAGCAGCTTTTCAATTGGAACATTTCATACACGGTAATTTATCACTCCCTGTGAATTTATCATCACTATGTTGAAGAGCATTAAAGTTTTATAAAAAATAAGAAAATAAAGTAGAATAAGATAGTGCAGTAATTTATAAAATTACAGAATTATTAATATTGATTATTTTATATTCAATATTAACTAAATATCTCTCTTGCACTCGCAAAATCTAATATTTAATTTTATCCACTACTGTTAACATTAATTAGCACAGTAATTAAGACATTAATTAAGACACCAAAGTCTAATGTTATATATCTTAATATTACACTATAATTTAAATTTATATATTAATTTATTGTATACATTACATTAAATTAATAATTTTTATTTATTATTTATTATTATTTTCTATTTCTTAAGAATTTTTTTCTTAAATATTAAATGTTACATATTTAATTTTACGGGTCAAAAACGTAGCTGGTATCAAATGCTCTTATCGTATGCGTTTCTTCATTATCAGTAGGTAGTCTTGATAATACGCGCGTCGCAAGAAAATGCATACATAAGCGCGTTCGCGTACTTTTCTCGATTCTTTGCTGTGATGAATCAGAGTTCGAGTGTCATCATTCCTCCGAAAATAGAGAGAAAGGAGGGATAGGAAGCTCGATCTTCAGAAAGAGTAGTTTGGAAAGCCTCCGACAAGACACGGTTCTCGTCATTCGATACGTCGGTCCCGTATCATTCGTAGTCACATTGCGCAACTATCTCATTGGAGATCGCACGTTTATATTTTACCAAGTGGAACGCCGGCGTGGAGAAGCCGATAAAAATTCACCGCTGCGCTAGTCGGCCTAATTAAATCGTATTTACGTCACTGCAGTGTTCTTGTTGTATAATTTAAATGACCATCGCCGTGTACGAGCGCGCTGTGCGCACCGCTAACATTTAGATTAACAATAATCGTCTTATGCTTGATGTAATGCGATTAAACAGAATTAAATATATTCGTTTGAGTAGAATTTGTTTGTTGAAGACTTCGTTTATTGCCGACTTGTTATTACGAATTATTATTTATTTTCGATTTATTGTGAATTTAACACTCTCATACTTTGTTTAAATTGTGATTATTATTTCTTAAGAGTTTTTTTTTTATTATATTTATATATTAATTTTTTTATTGATTACTTTTTGATTGAATATAAAAATGAAAGAATATCATCACTCATAGAACATAATACTTCAAACGCTTCCAACTCGGAAGCGTGTGTCTGAACTTTTTCTCTATCTCCGTTCTCCGATTGATCGTGACCTCATCATCGCGGCGGGCTGGTATAAAGAAATTCATATAATTCATGTAACAGGCCGCACTTTTGACACGCTTCATTCCGTGATGTAATCGTGCGGATGAATGCGTGGCGAAGCAATTATCGCGTACTATTAGCGAAAACGGCCTACGGCTAAATTCTTGACATACTTCGGTCTTGAGATACCTTTAATGCCGAGGGATAAAGGGACTGGAGGAGTTATCTGTCTGTAAACGATTTCTTGCTACGTGCTATTAAAAGAATAAACTATTTTTCTCATTCTCGCCGAATTAGAAAGCACGATAGTTCGTTGATATTTGTTTGTTTCAAATTTTTTCAACGAAAAATAGTTAATTGTGTACAACGAGGGTATAAAAAAAATTCTTTTATATATAAGCGAGTTAATAAAATTAATAGTTTTTATATTAATAATTTACGCATTATTAATAATTTAATCTGTAGTATGAATTATTTTTAATTGCAATCAGAAAAATATTCTATAGTTAAAAATTTAGTTTGAAAATATCGGATTTTTGTGCTATCTAAATACACAATATCGAATAATATTGAATTCAAAATTATACGAGAACATGAGCACAAATCAATATTGTATGCTAAAACAAATATTATTTTTAATAATTAAAATAATAAAAAAAAATATTTTTGTGGTCTAATATAAATTTCTCTTTAATTGCTAATAAGTTATGCAAAGATAAAGAAGTCGTTGAAATAAAATTAAGAAGGAATATTACGTTTTTTTAAATTATATTTTTTTACATCTTTATTTCTGGCGAGATAATGAAATTTTTATATATATCAGTCATATATTTCTTCGTTTTTTTCTACTAATACTCGGTAACATTAGGGTTAAATTATTTATTATTTGCCGAATTCAGACAGATGAAAAAGTATCACGTCTATGAATAAATAAAAGTTTACTAGGCGTTTCCTAACTGAATTATTAATATCCAATCGATACAGACACGAACCTTTTTGGCTGGCGATACATGCGATGTATATGTATGTGTATGTGTATGTGAACATCGGGTTAATGTAACAAAGAGTTGAATATGGAGAAGCGAAAGTGGAGCGCTTTTTTTGTCGCGGTCTCAACGACAATGGACATCATAAATCCTGATCATGTGTGCAACGACATGAGCAGGTGTGGATGCAGCGATCGACGTTCACCTTTCGACCGCAAGCGCAGGTCTCATCGATGCACTCGATTAAGCACGCAGTGTCGTTGAACAGCTCGTCGTCGTTCAATTTGTCCACCTGATGAGTACGCTTAATTTAATAATTGTGCCTTCCTCGTCGCGTTCGATTGTCACGATCGAAGAAATTATGCCGATTAATTAAATAGAACGACTCTAGAAATTCTTAAACAGAAGCAACTAATTTACGGAAATTACTTTTTAATAATTATTTAAATTGAAATTTGTTTAGAATTATAAATACTAATCTTTATAAAATAAGAGAGTAAAAGGATGATATAAAAGAGTAAAAGAGAGATATAAAAGAGATTTATTTATGTACGTCGTTTTAAAGTGCGTTTAAATTGAAATTGTACGCAGTTGAAGAGTTGTTCAAAAATTGAATTTTGAAGTGGTTACACTTTACATGGTTGAGCAGGAACTTGTAATTTATTTCGTTGCATAAATCTCTCTTACGCGCGTTTACATAAAATATAGTCCCAATAATTCATAAAAATATATAGCATCTGTCGAGACGCTTTTTAAGTGCAAATATATCACTTTTATGAGTCGTGTAATATTTATTCATTGTCGAACATTTGTGCGCAAAAACGAGTCTAGACATTAAATATAATGTTTATTATACCGAATCATCTATAATCGCGCTGATATCGCAACATACGAATAATCTTTCGAAGAAGTTTGCTCGTTACGCCTGGAATCTACCGAGAAACTTCAAGAAAGATCTTGATTCCTTCCGGACATTCCAAGCGCTGTTTATCTTACAAACACTCTTTGCTTTGCATTTTTTACATGCTGTTGCAGCCCTCAATAGCTGCTATTATTAGTTCTATAAAGTTTTATATAAAGTTTTTTTGGTACACATAATGATAATTATCATATTGTAAAAACAAATATTATTACTGTTATCATTTTTCTATAGAATATTCGAATTTTTACAAATGGTGCATGCGTTTTAATAATTATTCTCAATATTTTAACATTATATAATTATAAATATTATTAACACAAAAGTAATATCATTATTAGTATATGCTATAATGAACCAAAGAACTCTAATTATTACGAGTTTTATCCAAGTTAAAGTTTTAAAAATTTGATTAGAAAAGTATTATATTTCATACAGCAAGGAACTATATAATAAATAAAATTGTTCTCTTTTTGTGCATATTTATATCTCGCGCGTAAACCGGCGGCGGGCAATGGTGACCACGCGGCCGCACCGGCGGTCGATACGAGGACGAGTCTAGGGACTCTACCACGCCCAATCGCAGCCGTCGCATACCGAGCGCGTCTCACTCGCGCCCGCGTGAGTGAAGACGCGTCGCCTTCTTTCCGCGAGGATACGAGGAGCGCGCCGCGTTTTCATCCCCACCACCTAACCTCTCATTCGTCGCGGGAGCATCGCGCCTCGCCGCGGAGCGGCACGCCAGTCAGTCGGTTTTTATCCATCGCGCGAAGTGGTGTGTGGCGGTTTGGCGCGAGAGAGCGACAGAGCGGGTTTACGCGATCGGACACACACAGTGACGAACCCACCGTCGTGTCTCGCAAAGGCGTGCATTTCGGTAATTTGCAGTTGCGACGACGTTCATAGTGTCGCCGTACGCTCAGTAAAACCGCGTCGCGTCTGCGTCTTGACCGGAAGGAAGGAAGGTAAGCAGACGCGTCTTCGTTCTCTCAGAGGGGGGAAGAAGGAGCGCGCCTCGTGGACCCCCGTGCGTTGGATCGTGGCCGCGAGACCGGAGGCGCACGGCGCGCAGTCGGCCATTGTGCTTTCTTCGTGTCGCCGATACAACTGCGCGGTGCTCTGCTGTCAGTCGGTGTGCTCTGTGTCGGCCTGCACCGGGTGAAGTCTGCAGGAGCAGAAGATAGTACGCGCACGCTGTAAGCCGATCACCGGCTACTACTACCGGGAGTCGTTGCCATTCTTTGACACAATCTTCTCCCGTCATCGTCATCATCTCCCTCGCCGCCGTTTTCTCCCACGGTCAGCAGCACCGGGGTAAGTGAGACAAACAGACGATGCACGTTTACGCCCGTCCTCGCGTTTTTCGCGCTTCTACGAAGCGGAGCGCGACGCGACACTCGGTCGGTAACGTGATGCCCGGGGCCCCTCTCGCTCTTCTTCCGCTCCTTCACTGATGCTTCTTCGGTTCTTTCTCTTTTCGCTTTAATGACACACGCTCCTTCGGGTCACACCGGGTCACGTTTCTCCGTTTTACTTCGAATCGAAAGTCAACGGCCGGCGTGACAGATCTCACGAGCCGGCGTCGAGGAGGCGAAGGCCGGCGAGAGCGAGAGAGAGAAAGAGAGGGAAGGGAAAACGAAAGCTCACGTTTCGATCACGAGCGCGACTCCCGGAGTGAGTACTCCCGCGTTTTCCGTGACGCACGCACGGAGGTTGGTCCCCAAGTTCACGGTTGTCGAGAACAGGTGCTTTTTTTCTTTTTCTCGGTTTCTTTTCGTTTTCCCGAGAAATGAGAAACGGGAGTATTGCGTATTAATGTTTTTGTAACGTTGATGCCGTCGCAGAGTCTGAATATATTAACCCGCGGATCACCTGATCGTCAATCGCGTGCAGGATATCAGATTCATTCGGAGAATTCCGTTTTTACGCTCTTAATAGAGGGTTTTGAGGGACGAGTAGTAGGATAGTGTTTTGTCTCGAGCGATGTAAACAAAGCGATCGCGATTGTAACGTAAACAGTCAGTAGTAAAAGAAGATGTGAACGGATCCAGCGCTCATTGTGCAAGAGTAAGTTATTTAATACATTATGAAATTAATTTTTAAATTGTGTGTATGAATTTAATTATATTAATTTACTTAAATAATATCATAAAAGCAATTTTGATGCATTGGATACCGAATATACATAAAGAAATTTGTCCTTATTTATTTTAATTTTTCTACATTAATATTCGATCCATTTTGTATTGATTCTTTCTATTTATTGAAAATTTCAAACAAATTTGATAAAAATTCGCTTAAAGATGAATGATATAATAATTCTTTAAATCTAAATAGTTTTGCAAGTGAAACAATTCATTGAAATTGAAAGGTTTACTATCGTAATACTTTCTAGAAGACATCAATATAGTGTTCTAAAATTATAGATATTATTCTTTATATTATATATTTTTTTCCTGTCAATTTAAAGGTTCTTTTTATAAAAACATCAAGAGAAATTATCGTTTATTGCATCCTCTCAATTTTTAACATTGCATTTTGTAATTAAGCTTCAGATTAAAATTCTATTAAAATCCATCTGAAATAAATTAAAAAATAAAATTTGATGCTTTTTTTATCTTTATTTTGATTTTATTCCAATATTAATTACTTAAATCTCTCGATATTTTAATTGAGGAAAAGTCAATATCAAATTGGTTATGAAATTTTCAGAGGTACATACAAAATGAATAAACATCCACCTCGGTACTTTAATTTTTGAGGTTTTAAAAGGGTTAAAAGCGCGGCGTGTGTTCCATCATCCGCGTGCACTCGCACGCGTATTTCTTTCTCTATTTGCAGCCGCCGCGAGCAAATAGCAGGCGTATTAAGCCGTCGTCGTCATTAGATGCGATTTCCCGAGTGTTTGCTTCGCAAAGAGAGAATCCGGTCGGGTCTTTAGAGCGCGCGAGAGAATCGGATATTTCGCCAGCTTGATAGCTTTATTATCGGTCGTAGCCGCGCGATTAATTTGTCGTTCCGCCTTCGTTTATCTATCTATACTGGTAGATTAAGCTGTTCGCGCGTAAATTCACATAAACATATTAAAGCACATTGCAGACTGTCGGGTATTTAAATCCGACTCAGGCGGTGCCTTCGTATTAATAAAACAAAACCATGCAATTTTCTAAAATGGATTTAATACTAATTTAATATTTATCGTGTAGGCGTTAGTCGAAAATTTCTTAGATCAATTTTATTTAATTAAATTTCGTCATACAAGAATAGTACATGATCACGACTTACTTATATTTCAATGTAAATTTTTAATGTTTGTTTCTTTATTTTTAGAAGAAAATTAGACAGTAAATTCATAGCAATATTGTTATTACAATATGACAATAAATTTTTAGTTTAAATTCGTGGAAATGTTTTCTCTCGAGTCCTCTTATCCTCTCTTCGCACGCTTAACGTTAAACACAACTGTCATGACAATAACAATTTTTGTCGATTCGATATAATACTGATAATACTTGTCGATGTGAAATGAGAGTTAGGTACACTTGGCGATAAATCACAGTGTCCGATCGTTAGCACAAAAATTCGGCTTTTGTTCGATGAAAGAGGACGGTGCAGACGGATCGAGAGAGAAAGCGAGCCTCAGGGTCGTCGAACGAGGCTTCCCGGGCGGCAGGTACATACATATATATATATATATATATATATATATATATATATATATATATATATATATATATATATATATATATATATA